TACCGTATTACGCAAACTATAGTCGCAATTTGGTCTTCCGAAGCAAGTCGTTAGTGGTAACGGACCACCATTTACGAGTGTTGAATTTCAGAAATTTTTGGAACATAATGGTATTGAACACATTTTTACAGCCCCTTACCACCCATCTTCGAATGGTGCGGCTGAAAGCGCAGTCAAAATTTGTAAACGCGCGATAAAAAAGGCTTTAAAAGATAATTTAGATGTTGATATAGCGTTATCCAGATTTTTATTGACATACCGGAATACAGAACATACTACTACTGGTGATAGTCCAGCCAAAATATTACAAGGGCGTAGTCTTCGTTTAAGGTTAGATAATTTGAAGCCGGAAAGGGAATTTCGAGTAGCGTTACGTCAGGCACGTAGTGAGTACTATAAGGGGGGTTCACAGCGTTTATTTGAGACTGGTGCTCAAATTTGGTATCGTGATTATAGGAGCTCAGATAAATGGCAACCTGGTACAATAATTAAACGGTTAGGCAACACAGATTATTCTATAAAAACAAGTTTCGGTACGGAAATACACAGACATGTCGATCAGCTGAGACAAAGGGTTATAGCTAGTAACGATCCAAACACTACAGTAGGGTTAGACATACCTACAAAATTGGAAATAAATAAGAAATCACGCAAGTCTTTGGCCATCCCCTCAACCAATGTTGAGGTACCAGACGGCAGTGAGCAGGAGCGTAATATTACAAATCCTGCTATTCCAAGGAGCCCTAGGTTGGATTCCGAAACAGGCCCAGATGTGGTCACGCCTACAAGCCCTCAACCTGATTCCAATGTGTCTAATGTACCATTAGATCAAAATAAGACGGCTGCTAGCACTGGGGTAGGAAAAAACCGTCCACAAAGATTTCGCAAACTACCTGTTCGGTATGGGTTTGAGGAAGAGTTTTTTTAACCAAGTGTAGGTTACTGTTAGGTACTAAGGTTTCTTTTTTTCTTTTTGTTTTTATTGTTGTTGTGTTGTATGTTCATTAACACTTATATTAGTTAAATAAGCATGTACCTAGTTAAGTAAGACTTGTTTGTTACTTATAGTTTTAAGTTTATGATAGGTAATCTAATTGTTAGTAGAACTAAATAAGGGTGGAGGTGTTATGTTTTAGTTATAATAAGGTATTGCAGGTGGCGCTTCAGTCTTGCAATAAACATTGCTCCAAACACACGTGCGTTTGATTTAACAAGATGCACGATGTTTTTTGTGCGGGTCTGCATTTATTTATTACGTACATTACTGTTCGTAACTTCAAATGCGTAATTTATTCAGAAAAATCGAAAATTCTGGTAATGTTTGTTTGGAAAAAAGTTTTGTAATAATACTTAGATTTCGATTGCGCAAAAAAAATAATTTAAAAATGCATTTTTGACCTTCAATATCTCCAGAATCCATGGAGTCCCAGCTAATGGTCTTAAAGAAAAAAATGATCCAAATAATGGGTAGAATACATGGCTTTCGGCTTCGTTAAGTGTTTTTTTACACCCTGTATAATGGATGCCCAATCACATGCCATTCTTGTTATCGGTTATTCCCCAAACATCACCAAATAACCGGTGTTGCAATAAATCTCGTAGATCCGCAGCTATAATAACCGCGTCTGTCCAGCTTCAGACGAACATCACACAGAATCCAATAACACTAGTGATCCGTGCAGATTTTGTACGAACCAAGATTATCGATGAGTAAGTCAAAACAGACAGGATAGAGGTTTGATGTAGATGGAATCTTGAATAACTAGTTTGTTTTAACTAATGTTATTGTTGCTGTTTATGTATTTATTGTACCTACATACATACATAAATATAAACAAGAATTGCTAATTTTTTTTATATACAAAATGGACTTTGTAAGAGATTCCCACAATCATCATCAATCTAGGCAAACTTTGACTATTATGACTCTTATGACTAAATGACTATTTGAATAAATATCAGAACATTGTAACAATAACTTGTTTTTGATTATAATTCTATGAGATGACCCGAAGGCTTTTTAATGAAAATCATTCATGGTTGTAGCTGGAAAAAGTTGTCAGATTCTTATTAGATAAAAACAACTCCAGAAATAATTTGAGAATTATAAAATGATATATGATTGATTTTGTTAAAAAGTCAAAACAATACAACAACAACACGTCAATATTTTTGACTTAAGGAACTATCCAATTAGGCAGAAAATTCGACCCCATTTTAACGTCGCATCTGTATTTTTCTCTGTCGGAGATAGGGAACCAATATCTGGTATTGCAGTCGGCTTTCATATAGTGCGCTGCGACCGCGTAGATCACTAGAATTTATTAGTTTGCAGGGACTCCAGATGAAATCCATGGACTACTGACCAACTGTGTAAATGAACCATCGAGACTTGATCAATACTTTTTTTTTGTTTTTACTGTTGACTAAATGTAAAATGAATGATGTGCCTTCACGATAAATACAATAATGAGTTACAATATGAAATTGTATTATTTTGTTTTATTAATCGTTTTAGCGGCTTCGCCCGCAGTGCCAGGCCCTATGTCTCTGTGATCACTCTTGAAGGAAAATTATGGTCAGATCCTTTCAGTCTTTTGTATATTTTTATTACAAATTGACAAAAAATGATATGCATCTTTCGTTCCTTCCAAACTTGCGAATTCCAAACTTTCGTATAATTTTAGTAGGATAAAACTTGTAATTCAACGGTGGGCTACTTTTGTGAGTTCATGGAAAATTTTGACCATTCGTTCGTATACAAGTAATGTGTGTATCGCAACCCTATTCATCGACAGATACGACCACGTTGCCACAAGTGTAACAAATTAGATATAAGTAATGCCATCTATTGAATCAATTATGAGAATCTACAAAAAATGAGATTACGTATTATAGAAAAATACCAAGTCAAGAAGACTCGATTTTTTTTAAAAGAAGACCTCACTCTTATTTCTGAATTCATTTAAGGATCAAACTTCAGTCACGCTATATATCTAATACTTTCAACGCCTTCCTTCTTACAAAATCGTGTCTGTCACCACCAATTTGTCCTACAATCGCTTTCCACTTAGCTCCAAGTCCAACATGGCGTTTTCTTTTCTTTTTTAATATTAAACTCAATGTGACGGCTTCTACGAAATTGTCACCTAAGTGATATTTAATGGAGCCAATAATTTTCCTAATGGTGCCTTCAGATGGTTTATACTTTTTACAGTTCACAGTAAAGATTTTAGGTCGACCTAATGTCTTTGTGAGAAAGAGGAGGATGATGGTGTTGATAGTGAAAAATTTGATTAGATTAGAAATAATCTGACTCGCCAGGTTAGAAGAACGGACAACGGATACTTAGTGGGGTTACCCATTTTTACCCCTAATTTTAAGCAAAGCAAATTGGAATACATATCCAAGTTTTCCATACTTAATTGTTTTTACGTAAATTTTTAACCATGCGTGCATTGTCCAATTGCTATTAAACTTTACGTGTGCTTATCATATTCATTATTAGAATTTAGTTGTATTAGTATTATATAATATATCATTTATATCATATTCATCATAATAATAGGTATATAGTTCTTGTAATAAAAAATTTTGTAAAAGCACCAAATTGTCACAATGTTACTTGTCAAGTTTTTGACCAACACCCTTATGCATACCTAAGGCGCCTGAATATCTGGGCAACTGTTACTTGAATTTCTTGTAATAAAATAAGCAATAAATTTTTGTTAAAGTTGAAACAACAAAATCGACTTCTAAGCACGTTATTCAATATTGAAACTTCAATATTACCTTATAACTGTATACTACGAACTTTAAATATATTACCTTCTTCTGAATTCAATATCGGATCGTTCAGCAAGTCGCCGCGTTCTTGTTGATACACGATATCTGCTCTTCCTTTATTAAATCGCTTTGAAATATTTTTCAATTGAGAAGCAGAGCAAAGTTGTTTAATTTTATTTTAAGTCTTATGTTAAGGTAGTAGGTACAATTTTTGTAAAACGTTGCCTCTTTAACATTGTCCTCCATCGTGAATGTGTTTTTTATGTCAAAGGTCGGCAAACGAGCAGCGGACGGATTACTTGGTATTAAGCAATCAGCGCCCCCCAAGAACACTAGACAAAGAATAAAGGCAAGAAACTATTTCGTGATTTTCTTCTCCTTAAATAATAAATTCCGATTTAATTCGTTGCGGGATCCAAGACAGCCATTAATATATCAGCAGAGAGGCTGGGACGCACCAGACTTCAGTGTTCCGGTGTTTTCATGGTTTTTATCTACTGTAGGTCCTGCAGTGTGATTCTGTAAGACTTTATTCTAAACTTCGAATCTGAATCCGCTGTGAGTAGTAGTACACTAGCGCTACACTTGCGAGTGAAATATAAATTGACAGCAAAATTTTGATAGATAAAGTATGAGATGACGTTAAAAGTGACATTCATTTTATTTCCCCGTCACTTCAACGCTCTCTTCACACTCGAACACGATTCGAAATTAAACAAATTTTATAGAATCGGTAAAGTACATAATTATAAATAAGCATTCACATTTTATCCAAAGCAAAGATTTTTCTGTTCGAGAACAAAACGCATGATACGTTGCACAGAAGCCGGTTGCTTAGTCATTGAACTATCATCTCGAACTTACATACGGATATTGACAGACAGTTCTATTTGAATATCTTAAAAGGATATAGATCAATTGAAAGCAAACATATTATGTTAATTTTAGTTATAATATTGTCAATTACTACACAATTCGCAGCCATTAACAGCATGAAACGAAACTAAATAAAATTAAGTAAACTTTCTCTTACAACAAACTTATATGAGTAATTTGGCTGCACATCGTATATCGCGCAACGCTCATGAATATAAGCCCCTAGCGTGGCTTGAAACTAATCGACTATCCTCGAAAAAAAGTTACGTGAGCTGAATATTGGAATAATTTTTATCTAAAGTCTCTAGGTCTCAAGAGAGGTTTATCAAAAAATCTTCTTATTGCTTCTTCCTTCCTTCTGTCTTTTTTGCATCTGTCTTCTTTACTTCCAATTTCTTCGCATCCATTTTCTTCTTTGTTGCAGATAGAGTTCTGGTAAGAACCTCTTCTTGTATAGCCGTTTCTCTTTGCTCCATCACGTCCATTAACTCAGGACACATATTGGCATCTAAAATAACATTGCGAGATGAAGATGAATCATATTCTTCTTTACTTAAAAATGACTGATAATAGAAATGTTTACTGTTAAAAATTCAAGAAATTATATTTTTAAGCGCACTCTTTCTCTTTCTCTAGAAAGTTTAAAGTCGTCTGAAATCAAACTATAAATTCATTCTTGGAAGAACATATTTTTTTCCTGTTTGAAATTAATTAGAGAACCTATGTGTCCACTCCATGGGGTTGAAAACATTGCTATTGGTGTACGGACAGCATTGAAAATGAAAGGAAATGGAATAAAGTGGAAGGAAATCGCTAAAGTAGCCAAGCCTATCTGAGTTCCATAAAAAGTTATATCGGCAAAAAACCTACAACAATAATTGCAAGTTGTAATGCTGCTGCTGCTAAATGATATTGATGATTCTATAACAACCCCAGATTAATTTAACTCACCCACAAATAGTTTTTCTAGCGCAAAACAGCGATCTTTTTGTCTGCCCAGAACATGTTCCTCGTTATAAAGTTGTAGCTCTTTCATGCGCTCTTTGGCAGCTTCTATTCGTGCTTGTCTTTCTTTTGCAGCTGCTTTTGCCATATCTGAAGTAACTATAACACTGTAGAAGATATTGTGGTCATTATCATCTGGTATTTGTTCTAAAGAATTATTAAAATAAGTTATTATTATGCACCTTAAATGTTAGTTTAGTAGTAGTTAGTTTTATACCTGATTTACTATGTGTTTTTTTGAGTCAGTGTGTCTTCAAGTTCTAGTTTCTTCTACACAAATTTCAGATTTGCTACATTCAAATTTATCATCGAAGGATAAATACACTACTAAACTAAAATATGCCTAACCCCAAAAGATCGGCATCGGATTTTTAGATCCTTGCAGTTGCTTACATAAGTTGCTTACCATCACGTAATCTATCTCCATTACCAATTAAAAAAGTATCTTAATGTTAAAGCAATAAAGTTGGAAAAATTCTAACCTATCATACGACTCTTTTTCTTTCATACACAAAGGTAGAAAGTTTAGTGGTTTGAAATTATCCCGTAAAAGCTCTGGCATCGTCAGGTACACAGCTTCTTCTTCTGCCTCCACAGACATCTCGAGCACTTAAAATTATAAAAACTGATATAAATAATCACGAATTCACGAGCTCAATCATTATATAACTCATATAAATAATCTCGACCTTAATCACAACAAGACACATTATTTCTGTAATTTCTGTAAAATATATTTTTTTCGCATGGTAATTTTGGATAAGGTCTCAATGCATCAAGAATAGTACATAGGTAATGTAAGCCCGTATCTTCTCCATTAGGAAAGAGGCATTTGCTTTGCACCCAGTATATGGAATTGTACCGAGTATATGGAAATTCTTAACAGGGTCCATGGAATCCACGGCGTTTCATACTCATTACTATAATAACGTTCACAATTGTGCGCAATATATCAGACAAAATAATCATCAAAATGACTAAATAAGTAAAACTTACTTAATGGAAGTCTAAATTTAAACTTTAACCTATTGAAAGAAGGTTGGAATTGTGATAACTTACTACCACTTTCGGTCGCTGGCGTGGGTCCTTGCCCTTGAGCAGAGTCTGACAAAAAAAAATCATTTAAAAATAATTATAAAACAAATATACAAAACAAAATTACTTAAATCCACGTTTAAAAACGTAGCGTAACCTTAAAATGTGCTTGGTTTATATAAAATTGCAAATGGAACTCATACAAAAATTTTAATTATGTTTTATTTCTCTTACCTTTTAAGTCTTTTTGTTCTTCATTCTCCATTTCTTCAAATGCATCCTGTTATAATCAGAAACGTAATTAACACTATAAGTATATAAAATGTCTAAGCTAGAGAGCTTCAAGGCTAAATTTTGAAGTTATCTCTTTGCCAATCTCCATCAAAATACATTCAAAAGTTTTTAATTCAAACGTAACAAACATCCGTCTATCCAGACCCACAGAGTATTTCGTTTAAGATATTAGAAGGATGTTTCTCTTGTTAATTGTAATGGTGCGGCGTTTAGCCACTATGAAGGCTGAATTGATAGTAAGCGTTGACGCAATCTACGATGGAGCATGCGTTTCAATAAACCACCTATACACTCGGGCCCTTCGGGGAACACAGATAATATAATAATATGTATGTTGTACCAACTATTCATCATCATCATCTTGTAAGTGCCCACTGCTGAGCAAAGGCCTCTTCTCACACGGAGGAGGTTTGAGCATTAATCACCACGCTTGCTCAAGGCAGATTAGGGATTTCAAACTTATAATTACAAATTATGAGGCCAGGTTTCATCACGATGTTTTCGTTCACCGTTTGTCAGTGATGTCTAAATAATCACAGAAAGTACATATGACTCGGAAAAAGTCTCATCGGTACCTACTTGCCACGTTTCGAACCCGCACCCTCATGTATGAGAAGCGGGCCTTAACCTCCGGTCTGCCACGATTTCTACCATCAACCAGTATTAAAAGTACCAAGTATTGCTGAATTTTTTTTGCTGCTGACTTTAAATATTTTAAGCCTAAAAATTACCTTAGACAAAGTATCCATTACGTCTGTGTCCATATTGGAACTTCTAATAGAGCTGTCGAGTCCGCTTTTCGTGCTCTCGGATATCTCCGGCGGTGGTATTACCAAAAATTCCTCACGGAATTGTTTTCTGTAAGAGTGATTGCCTTGATATTATAGGTTCACCCTTGTTTGGTCGAACAACGTTTGATACAATATTACTAAATCGAACAACGTTTAAGAAAATCATCACTTAGTATAATATCGTTTGACAGAATTTTCAGTTCGTCGAATATTTATTTGCTATAACAACATTTGTGCTAATGATCAAAAGGTATAATGTTCATTTGATGTAATGTTCAGATGGTATAACATGTATTTTATCGAATATTCAATTGGTGTAAAGTAATGCAGAAAAAAATACATTGTAAATATTTGAAAGTTATTTATTTTTAACAAGAAAACAGTTAAAGTAATCTTAAATTACTTGCAGTTGCTTTTAGTAAATCCAGTTCTGTATACATTTCAAAATTGCGCAATATGGTCTTCTTTTAGTACAAATCTTCTTCTGCTTTGCACTAGGTTCTCCATTTAAAATACACTGTATTTTTCCTTCAACTATATTCATTTCGGCAAGCAGTATAGTAGACAGTTCATAAAATCCGGGGCTTCTTTTATCGACTATACTATTTAACCTGTGGTGCCACGCTTCCACATTATTTTGTGAGCGTGGCAATTTTAAATGGTTCAAATCATGACAACTCCATAAGCTAGGTGGAAACGGGGGGCGGGGGGGGGGTTACCATTCTTTCCTACGACATAATTTTCCGCAAACCATTTGGCAATTAATGCACTTTTTTCTGAGCAATTCTCTTCCCAAACTTTGAAGTACTGTGGTATTGTTGAATGTGGTAGGAAAGACAAAGCCATGAGACACTTAATTTCCAAGCTGAAGCTGTAATCCGTTCCGTACAGTTTTGCAAGGCCACTTGATTGAATCTTCCTATAAATAATTTGTCCAAAATGGAATGAACAGCATTTAACCATAATATTTTCCAAATTTTGTCGTGCACATTGAATTGCAGTAATTTCGAAGTCCATCATACAATATTTCACGTTTATAACAATATCGTTATCACAAAAATACTCATTTATTAAGTCGAATATTTTATTGTACGTTGTTTTGTCCTTATTAGTGCACAACACAAATACTAACGGCACGGTGGACCTATTTTCATTCAAAATCCTAGAATGAATTGTATACAATTGTAAAAATAATTCTGGTACAGACTTAAAGGTACCATCCATATACCACATCATGCTTTGTCCTAATTGAGTCATCAATTTCTTTGTTGATAAAAGAATTACTCTCTTATTATCATTAAATATTTCATCCTTAATTACTAAGTTTCCTTTTTCTAATTTAAGATAATCATTATAGTGAAACAGTAGTTTAAATAAAATTAGTGCATTTGAAAATTCGGTGAAATGAAATTTGTTCAAATGAAATTAGTTCAAATAAATAATTATGCTAAATAAAAATTTACCAATGAATTATTCGGTCAAATGAATAATTCTACGAAATGACTTTATTGCAACTAAAATTCGCCGAAGTGATTTTCGACGAAACATTGTTCGACCAAACAAGGGTGAACCAGTAAAATAAGCTTTTATCATTTTTGGCAAAAGTAACGAGCAGAGAGGTTACTTGACGGTAAGCAATTTTCGCTTACTGCTCATCAGTCATATTATGAGTCTATATAACAGGGGGTGATCCTATTTCCATATACTGGACATACTAAAAGACTCTGTACTTACTACTTTACTTGGTCCGGGAATTGGTATGCGAGCAGACGGATTATGATAAGTAAGCAATCAACACCGCCTACGAGTATGCATATCCGTAACACCATAGGATTTGGTTATGGATCAGAGAGGGAAAGGATTAGGCTTGCGGTAACGTCACTCACACGGGGAAACACAACACTCTGGACGCCGGTTTTCTTTGAGGCCGCGGATCACTCCGGCCAAGCCGGTCTATTCTTGCTTTGGCAAGAATGGCTCATCTATACTTTAACTTGCTCAGCTGTCGCACTTATGACCACGTGCTGGATCAACAGAGCAACCTTTTTCTCCATTGTCCCACTAACCTGATCTGGGCTCCCCTTGCATTCCTTCCATGTTCCCTGGCATCCCATGCCTTCCTTGCATTAACGAAGTTTTGGTCCCGTTCGTCGTCTCGTTTGGCGACGACTCCTCCTCCAACTGCGAAGGCGCACTCGAGCTCAACAAATGCATCTCCAGGTAAAGGCTGATGCACTCCAAAGTTCAGCGGCATAACCCTCTCCTTTTCTTTTGCTGACATTATTTTTGTGGGCTAGAAATAAAATAGATTAGGCCGGAGAGCTACGAAAAACTGGTCAGTTTCCTCCCTTTAAATTATCGGTGGTCATATTGTGCAGCATGTAGCTGGTTGCGCCAATCAAAAGTTCATTAGCAGATTCGTGAGGAATGATTGGATGCAAGAAGAGAGTGAGAGTCATCCAACGTGAACATTTTGTTCAGCAGCGTACCCCCATAAGCAGGACTTATAATGATGATGATGAATCGCAACTTCCAAACCACCTTCCAAAATTGGATATAGTAGAATTGTTACCTTTTCTTTTTCCTTGGCAAGTTTCTTCTGTATCTGTAGTTGTTCAACTTTAGTAAATTCAATAGAGTTAATAACTTCATCAACGCGTTTCCATTGGGCTAGTGTCAAAGGCCAACCTGATGGACACGTCACCCTTAAAAAAAGAAAAAGTGTTACAATTCAACAACCACAAACAAGTGTAACATTGAGAAAACAAATTGACTTACTCGATTGAGTAAAACTTTGAATCATGAAGTTGTTTCATCTGTGAAAAAGTGCAATTTTATTATTTTATTGAAAAAAAAATTCTTAAATCTATATGTCACAGGCAAACTAGCTTAATAAGTAATTCAGTCAACGACCTGCATGACTAGCTGAATGTCTGAATGACTAAAATTTTCATTTAATTCTTGTTTTTGGGTTTTTTTTTAATAAAAAACGCTGCCCCTCACTAAATTTGTCTTCTCAGACGTGGGTGCGTTTACAAACATACAATTTCACATACACATGACACCCAGACCCGGAACAATAATTTGTGGATCACACAAAGAGTTGTTCTGCGACTCGCGACACGTTGCGCGGCAGCCAGTTGCCTGGCCACCGCGCCACCGTGCAGTCAAACAGGCTTATTAACAAATGCAATCATCCAATCAAACAGCTAGTCATTCAAGCATTTGTTTTAATGGTTAATTAAACTAGTTGACTGCTCATAGATACAAACGATAAAATACGTTATTATTAAAAGAAATAAAATAAAAATTACCTTTCCCAAAGACCGATGACTCGACTTGTGCGGTGGGGAGACCTTACGTTGCTTCCCAGTTTTGAATATGGATCGGGCGCTTGTGACGTTCAGGTCTCTTGCACTCTGTCGAATTAAAGAAAAAATGCACTATTGATCTAATGAGCCAATCAACAAAAAAAAAATACTAAATATGAGAACATTGCATTATAAAAATAATATCATCCATCAATGAATTTTGTAGCATTTGAAAAGGGTGTAATTGTATAATTTTCTCTTAGGTGCGATTCCATGTGAAAGGTTTAAATCTTTCTATCTTTTGTTTCTTAAGATATATCTGTTCTTACGCTAGCAGCGGATTATGGTCCCCAATCTTTAATTCGCGAATCCCCCATTTCCCTCCAAATCTCTAAACGGATGCTACGTACTTGTAACCTCCATTAGTGAAGAATCGCTGATCTCCATAACAGTTGCCGGTTGCTTACCATCCAATCATCCAATCAAAAAAACACATACATCTCTATACTCCCAAAAGGATGACTGGCAGAAAATGCTTGTAGCATTAAGAAGATGCTTGTAGTTTTTAATATGCAATTGCTTATATAGAATAAATATATAAATAATTGTGTACCGTGTAAGTAGAAGAATTTGTAGCAACAACGTGAGGTTCAAGTCTGATGAAGGGCCAGTATATTTCTCCTTTGCCCGCGCATTTTCCCAACTCCACAGACTCACCGTTGGGTAACGTAGTGCGCAAAATTGCCACCATTTCCACCTTTAAGTTGAAAACATCAATAGGACTGACGTTTACGTAATCTATATATCTCTCTCTTTATTTTAAAAAGAGTAACGATTCTTTTTCTTGCTCGTTCTTCTCCATTCGAATCTACAATTTGGAACGAGCTCCTAGCTCCACTGAAGAACAGACTGACAGACAGACAGTTTCCAAAGTATCCATTTATGGTTTAGTTGCGAAATGATTTGGTGTTTGACTTCGACTATACTAAATAATAATATGTAAAACTGAATAGTTTGAATGTTTGAACGCACAAAAATATCCGAGAGTGTTCGTTCGGATTGAAGGCTAAGCTTGGGTATTAAACATCACAATATTACCAATAGGAGGAGAGAATCGGGAGATTCGCGCGGAAGTATCTAGTTCTTAATATGAGTTAGTTACTGCTATAGTGCGGACTAGAGTCAAGCATAAAATCTTCCGATCTAACGTCAAGTCCGTCTTACTCTATGGGTGCGAAACGTGGAAGGTAAGAAAGGATATCACTCAATCAATCCAGGTCTTCGTCAACTGCTGCCTTCGGCAAATACTTGGCATTTTCTGGCCAGAGAAGATCTCGAACGAACGCTTGTGGGAGGTGTGCCGGAAAATGCCAATAGACAAGCAAATTACACGCCGAAAGTGGTCATGGATAGAGCACACTCTCAGGAGAGGTCCCACACACATACCTAGACAACTATCGTGAGACATACTAAATTAACTAAAATTCGCGGGTTACTCACGTGTACATGTTGAGAAAAGCTCTACTAGTTTCGAACCACAGAGGGGTTCTTCCTCATGAGCAGCGTGCGCGGACGCGGCGACGTCGCGCAGCCTACTGGTTAGCGTAACAGACTCCTATGTGAGGGACTCTCGCCATTTCGTCGCCTTACTGGCCGATGTTCACCTCCAAGACACAGAGATGATGATGAGTTTCGACATAACATCGTTGTTCACAAATGTACCAGTAGAAGAAGCAACTTCAATTATCACCAACATACTGAAGGATACTGATTTACCTACTGGATACATTGCGTGTGTGAATCATTGTCTCACTGCAGGTTACTTCCTGTGGAGAGGGGAACACTACCTGCAGGTGGATGGAGTGGCTATGGGGTCGCCACTGGCGCCAGTGGTGGCTAACATCTTCATGGAGTGGTTTGAGGGTCAAGCCTTGGCATCCGCCCCGGTAAGACCGCGATACTGGTGGAGGTACGTCGATGACGTATTCGCAATCATCAACCGGGAACATGTAGCTGAATTTGTGGGACACTTAAACTCAGTGCACGGCAGTATACAATTCACCACTGAAGAAGAGAAAGAAGGGATGTTGCCGTTCTTGGATGTCCTCGTGAGACGAGAAGAAAGTGGTCGATTGTCACACACAGTGTATCGAAAACCGACACACACAGACCGATACTTACGAGCTGACTCACATCATCATCCCTCTCACCTAGCCGCTGTCCCGCGGACTTTGATAAACCGGGCGCTGAGTCTATGCGATCCACAGTACATTGACGACGAATTTCACCATTTAAAAAGGGTACTGGAGAACAATGGATACAAATGGCGTCAATGTACTCGACTAGCGAGCAGCTCGAGTAGGAAGCGACCAGCAGTTGCGGAGTGGACTCCAGCGTTCTTACCATACGTGAAAGGAGTAACCGACAGAATCGGACACCTGCTGCAACGTAAATATAGCATCAGAACGATCTTCCGCCCACCCGGTCAGCTGAGACAACTGCTACGCTCGCCAAAGGATAAGGATCCACTAGCTGTGCCCGGTGTGTACATTATACCTTGCGACTGTGGCTCAAGTTACATCGGAGAAACTCGGTGCAACATCACAACCAGGCTAAAGGAACATATACGTAGCGTGAAGAAGATGGACATCCAGGCATCGGCTGTGGCTGAACATGTTTGCGGCACGGATGCGGCTCACTTCATACGTTTTGATAAGGTCTCCGTACTAGCGAGGGAGAAATACTTCGTTCCGCGAAAAGTGCGAGAGGCCATCGAGATTAGCCGACGTCCGTGCTTCAACAGGGATGGTGGCTGGGCATTGCCACCCGCGTGGAAGCCGAGCTTGGAGACTACGTCGGTCCGAAACGTATCCAGTCTGGAGTGTGACACAGTAAGCGTCATATGTAACACAGACTTTGTGCCGGGCCCGGAATCGAACCCACTACCCGCGCCACTGGTGAACGTACCGTGCGCCTCAACATCGTCACACGCGCCGCCGCCGGAGATGGCAGCAAACGCGCGTGGTATCCGGCAGATGGCGCGTTGGACTCGCCGCAGCGCAACCATCAACAGCGATGCAGGCGCCAACGCTAACCAGTAGGCTGCGCGACGTCGCCGCGTCCGCGCACGCTGCTCATGAGGAAGAACCCCTCTGTGGTTCGAAACTAGTAGAGCTTTTCTCAACATGTACACGTGAGTAACCCGCGAATTTTAGTTAATACCGAGACAAGCTCTAGAGTGGACACCACAAGGCAGGCGAAAAGTTGGCCGTCCTAAGCAAACGTGGCGGCGCACAGTGGTGGCGGAAATTAGGAGGATAGGACTGTCCTGGTCCGAAATTAAGCACATAGCCCAAGATAGGTCCAAATGGAAAAATACTGTGGAAGCCCTCTACATCGACATCGGAACTTAAGTCAAGTAAGTCATAGTGCGGACTAACTCCGAGTTGTTCAATTTCAGTTTCATCACTTTCATCATCAGTCCGTAAGTGTCCACTGTTGAGCAAAGGCCTCTTCTAACACCCAGAAAGTTGAAGCATTAATCACCACGTTCGCTCAAGGCTGATTGGCTATGTCAAACATATAATTGTAAGTCCAGGTTTCCACACGATTTTTTCCTTCACCGTATGCCCGTGGTGCCTAAATAATTACAGAAAGTACGTACATATAACTTTTAAAAATGTTATTACTGGAGTTTTGTTAATTAAAAATCTAATCTTTTAACGAACTTACCTCAGGAGAAGACGCTGCTGCTCTGAAGCTAACAGACTCGTGTTTCGTCACAGACAAATGGATACCTCCCAAAATATTCCTTCTATTTGGGAAGAAAATCTCATCAACGTGTATTTTCTGTGTGTACGGAATGTGTAATGCTTTGCAAAGGTCTTCGTTGTCACAGACGTGGAAAGCGCCATCTATGTTGGACATGACAGTGAGCTGCCAATGTGCGTCTTGATTTATTCCAGTTGCGCGGTTTAACGTTCCATGGCCCACAACTGTGTAGCTGGAAAATTAAGTGGCTAGTTTATATATCAACTATGTTGACTGCATACAAGCAGACCGATTACCTGATGGTAAGCAATCGGCGGCGCCCCTGTACACGGGCAACACCAGCGGGTTGCAAGTGCGTTGCCATTCTTGTGGTGAGTAGGGTTTTGAAGATTCGGGAATTGGAGGAGGGGAAGAAAGATTATTGAAGAAAGTTTGTATTAATTTGAAGAAGTAAAGGCGTGATGTTGTATAGGTGATCCTGTTTCTAGTCAAAACAATATAAAATTAGGTATAAGTAGATTATCATAATTTCCAGATAATCCATTATTGTAAAAGATATTATAAAAAAAATCTTATTCGGAATTCTTATGTGAAATAATTATTTGATTTAGTTGTTAAAGCTTACCGTCCGTCCATTCCAATTTTTACGTAAGAGAAATCAATAAGTTATTAGTTTTGTCTAAATATAAAAAAAAACGTTTATTTCGATAAAATAAAAAAGAAAATTTATTAGCAAATTAGTGTTGCACGTCATATTAATTTTATTTGTATTTTACACCTTACAAAAATAGGATAAACCAGTAGGATTAAAAAAAATCTAATAAGAATTTAAAAAAACGCAAAATTATAAATTGCCTAAAACTATAAAAAGATGCAAAAACCTAGCAAACATTTAAAAAAATATTGTAGGTCTATGTCACAAAAACAAACTGGCTTGAAGGAACTAAACTCAATAATACAACACATGCCACATTTAGTTTACCTTTATCCATGTATTTACGTCTTTTCGAATCGTTCGATTTTTAAAGTACCCACATGTACCGTCTTTCCACTAATATAATTTCTTTGCTATGTATGTATATTAACCTTCTTAGTGGTTTTTTTATGCATTACTAGCTACTCTCACGCGGTTTCACCCGCTGCTCAGCTTCTACAGATCATAGCGTGATGCGATAAATGGACTAACACAAAAAGAATCGTTCATTCAAACAAACAAACAAACTCTTCGGATTTATAGCTAAAAAAATATTAGTACCTACAGATTATGTATGCCACAAAAAGATTGATAAAATACGCGGGGGCACAAGCAGACAGAAATAAAAAAAAAATATTAATCCAAATCCATTGAGTAGTTTTATAAAAGAACTTAAAAAAATGCAAATACTTTTGAATTGAATAAATATAAATACAAACTAGAGCAAGCAAAATTGGGACGATAACTCTCGGGGTTAACGCACAGCTGTGTCGGTATGTACAGTGAACACAATGATATTATTTTCGCTCGCTTGGCGAAACGGGATTCGTCACTGCGGCGGGCGAAGCGACGTGAACAAGACCCTTCCCTCTCTCTCCCGTCCCGCGTTGTAGCGATCTCGCTCAGTCGCGTCGAAGCGTTCTTACAAGTCTCACGTATACAATGAATCAATCCGGCACAGCCTTTTTTATCAAACTGGTTAAAAGCCACCCAATACTATACGACGCAAACCATAAAGATTACAAAAATTCATACGCGAAGAATAAAATATGGGACCAGATCGGCGAACAAGTTGAAATGTCTGGTAAGCCTAATACTTTAACTTCATAATTTCATTTTAAAAACATAATAATTACCTACAACATGAAACGTGGTGTTTTATGTAAAGAATGCCGTACTATCATTACTTTTTTAAAATACTAGGTACAGAACTATATACATATTTTTAACTCTTTTAGTAAATAGCTAATGGATTGATTTGTGTAACGCGCTCAACGTCTTTGTACCGGCGATAATTTTGCGGTATGCCGCGCCGAGCTAGCGAAGTGGCAGCGACGCGTTACGCGCTCGCGAGCGGCACGGCCAGATGTTAACGCGCGCCGGTAACGTCAGGAGAGTCAAACATTGATTTAGATTTTTTTTTAAGTTTTTTGTGTATGTTAAAATTTATATTTTTTTTATTTTCAAGCCCCGTTTATACGACTTCGCATGTTTATTGCCTTCTGCATACAATTAATGAAAGTTATTATTGACTTTTTGGTCACAATAATACGTAAGTACGGTATAATACGAGTTTAGTAAAGTCAAATTCTTTTCGAATAAAATTTATTTCATTCATTTGTATATGTTCAAGAAACTGGTAGCGTGTAAACGAACATTTATTTTTGCAAAAAAAAAACTCTAATTTTTCAACCATTAAAATTAAAACGGAATTTATATATATAGGTAAATAATAATCGTTTTCGAAGCTAGTTTTTTTTCTAAATGTTAGGCAACATAATGATATTTTTTTTAACCGACCAAAAAAAATGAATTTTCTATGTTTGATCTCAAAGTATGTATGTTTGTCACTTTGTCCACGATATCTTGAAGCAATTCAGATGCCGTTTTAAGAAAAGTACTTGCTACATTCAGGAGAAGGCTTTAGTGCTTTTATTTGTCCTTTAAGTATGTATGTATATAAAGTTATTAATAGCATAGAAACAATTGCAAACGCAGAATTTTACCTAAGCATAAACTAATGTTTGTTGATGATAAATTTAAAAACATTTCCGTGCGGACAACGAATTCGTGGTTTGCAATTTGCCGCTGCGCGAATGTCCGCAGTCAGATTCGTATTCGTATTTGAAAGAAGAAAGAAAGAAAGAAAAATAATTTATTTGCCATGTACAATAATTTGGATTTTTTTTAATTACGTTGTGATTAACTGCAGTATCGAAATTAAAACCGAATATGTGTTTAAAACCAAGTTCAATAATTTTAAAAAGACTACGAACTAATTTTTTTCGTCAGTAGCAGATGCGTTTACAAACACCTAGACCTGGAATACATTGATTTAATATGTTCATGTTCTTATGTGATAGGCCGGCAAACGAGCAGATAGATTGTACTTGATGGTAAGCCAATAGGCGCCGCCACGCCACAGGTGTTTCTCGTGTGTTTCCGGTATTTTCGGGATTAGAATTTCAGACTTTTAAGTATTTGGGGAGGAAAGAAGGACTGCAATACAATATGTTCTCTATCCAAAAAAAAAACACTCTAAAAACATTAACACATTTTTTTTTATGTAATATATCGGCAAACGATCATACGGATTACCTGATGGCAAGCAATCAGCGTCGCCCATGGACACCCGCAAGGGAGGAGTAACGAGTGCGTTGCCGACCCTTTAGGGATTAGGGATTTGGAGATTTAGGGATTGGGGAGAGGAAGGATTGGGCCTCCGGTACTCACACGGCGAAATACAACGCTGTGGTTGTTTCACGCCGGTTTTCTGTGAGGCCTTGGTATCACTCCGGTCGAGCCGACCCATTCGTGCCGAAGCATGGCTCTCCCACACTTAAATACCCACATATAAATAATACTATTTCCTTTACAGGTGAATTTGCAAAAATGAAATGGAAAAACCTGCGCGACACATACATAAAGTACTTAAAAACCAATCAAGCGATGAGCAAACATGGTCTTAAAACATCAAGCTATATCCGATACGGCAAATGGCAGTGGGCTTCAAACATGGCGTTCGTAAAATACCATACCGGTGTTTTAAATGACTCTTCGAATCACGAGGTAGAAACAACAAAAAATGACAAACACAATGAAGAAGATTCAGATAAATACGTGGAAAAGACTACTTCAAAAACCACTAATCGTCATAGTGAAAATAAAAAAATACTTTTTAATGGCAGAAAAAGATTGAATAGCATTACTGACTCACCAGTTCTAGCTAAAAAAGCAAATACTTTAACGTCGATGGAACATATAATGATAGGGTATGCAAAAGCTATCGACAATTTCAGTTCTGAACGCCTTAAAATTTTAACCAAGATGAAGATTGCTAATATTGTTATGGAAGCTGAATTAGAAGATGAACAAGAACGAGCAAGAGGACAACACAATATGGTTTACGATAGTGACGATTCTTTGGAACCAAGTGATAGTAAGAATAACCGTCCAAGAAAATCTCAACAGGTTATCGATTCAGATTATAGTAATTCTCCCAATGATTCGCCGCAACAAATAGTTGACGCCCCAAAAGACACTGAACAAATTAGTACGGAGAACGATGATCCACTTTTGGATATAAAATATGAGATTGATATTGAAGAAGAAGATAATCGACTTTAATTTTTGTAGACAGTACTAGGAATGAGTAAATTTCGAAACGCCAAAAAGTGTGGCATTATTTTTTTCGACATATTTCTATTAAGATATAGTCTACTGATTAAGACATTGCGAATGTGATAAATCTTGCCACTTCGAAATACAGTTATTTAAAAAATAATAAAAAATGTGATTTACTTTTTATGGCACCTTATGGTGCCATAAAAAGTGCTTTGGAAAAAGCTCTTTAAAAAACTCAGGAACTGAATTGATACCTCGTGAACAGCAAGCTCACCTCACAATATTTTTTATTTCTCTTCATCATTATATTTTATCCTTCATATACTGTTTACAATTGCATTTCGGGCGCAAAGACAACAGCACCATATCACTCAAAAATTTGCAGTCATGCTATAGGATAAGCTACCGAATTCAAAAGTTCCAACAAAATAATTTTCATATGTAAAAGGTTTATGAATTGTATTTAAATTTACTACAACGCTGAGTTTTAAGGTATTCGTCAATATAAATTTTAATATTCATTTTTCATATTTTTAGTTTATTTAAAATATCGTAATTTTTCATACCTTCTATTGTTTTTTATTTACCAAACTGAGTTCTTAAAAATACCCGGTAGAAAATGCCACTATGGCATTTATTCCACCGGATGTACCTTCTCAAAAACATAAAAGTCTAAAAAACAAAATAGAAAATACTTACCCAAAAACGTTCGGGTTGAAATCATAAGTGATATGAGAGTTGAAGGCTTGAGGTAGTTGTGCCGAAGTATCGTTATCATACACAGCTAGCATACTATGGCCCAAGTTGCTATGGACATCAAAATGGACCTTTACAGGCGCATGGCAATAAAAAACTCCCTGGAAATATGGAACCCACACACATTTAGGAAACACTGGAGTTGTTCCTGTATGCTGCTGAAAACCGTAGACTCCACTGAGAGCTGAGGACACGGAGTACGCATATTTAGCTCCAGGGAACATCGTAAAGAACTCATTCATCAGCATAGATAAAGAATCTACTGTCCCGAAGGCTTGATCTTGCACCTGCGAAGAGGATGTAAATGTAAAATAAAACAGTTCATTGATTCAATAGGCAGGCGGCAAATAGTTTTGTTTTAATTTTTGGACCGCCCCTAACATAAAATCAGTAACAATTGCTTTACTGCCATTTGTGGATTGTTAGAGAATTAATAAGGGTTTGGAGATTTATAATTATAATAGCGAAATATAATGCTAGTGTTGTTTCACGTCGGTATTCAGTGAAGGCCAGGTGTCAATCCGATCGAGCTGATCACATTAACAATGATGGCAGAACGTAGTAGATGGTCTGGTCATTATATAAAAAATCTTAGAAGATTTTAAAATAGAAAGATGTATTTCATACACGTGACACACATGACGTTGAAATTTTGGAAACAAGAGTTTTGATTTGAATCTATATCCTATATTAAATGTTTCATTTTAGTGACAGTAACTCATGCCCGCTTTAATGATAGCTGACTACATATGTAAGTGTTTATGTTTAGACGCCAGAAGTTTAACCTCTTTTCGACATCAAATTAAAACAATAAAGTTGAAAATCTAAGAGCTAAGAGTGGGTTCACCATCTGCACTATGTAACTTACATATTTAAGAATTTCAGGTGTAAAAGTTGCGGTTGAATTCAGGCATTTCCTTGCCCAAGTACCTCGCCAATGTGCCTGAATGGCTATGGCAGCTTCATGTCTACTGATCACCTTCTCCCTTTCTTCCTTCAACAATCCACACTGTAGTTGATCCGTAGCCAATTCACAAACTTGAGATGTTATTGGTGGCTCTGGGTACGTCAGCAATTGCGCCATCATCGTGGAATCTACCAAAGGTTTTTCGTCTTCAGCTACCTTAAAGTGTTCGGTTATGTTAATATTGACTTTGGCTTTGTTAATTTGGAAGGAACTGAGACAGATAAGAGCAAAAGCATAAATTTCCAGCCTTATGCAACATCGCTTCTCGATTTGGTGAATTGAAAGGTTACCAAGTCTTTTTAGGCAACTTCTGTACACTTACCATTTCAGTTTCCTCAAGGTGCTGTTCTTCATAAATTTCAGTCTCCTCAACTTCGGGCATTACGCAATCACAGACTTCTAAATCGGCAATATTCCGTAACGATTTCACCGGCCGAGGTTTTTCCGTAAAGCCGAAATTGGGATCACAGAAGTATTTCCTTAGAACACTGACTACTTGTTTCCATTCTGTCTGGCCAAGAGATTTTTGCAGACGTGACTGGAGCGCTTGCCTGAACATCCAGTGACGTAGATGAGGGTCGTAGCCAACTACTTTCTTGTCCCAAGGAAGATCAGGGGCATAAGAACTGTTCAAATAAATGTTTTAATTTCATTTTTCGTAGCCGTATATCGTAGCCGATCAATTATCATCATCAGACAAAAAAAAATACAAAGTACCTGAAAAATTCCCTATCAGCTTGTATCATTACGTTCTGCGTAGAACGGACCACTTTGGTCCAATTTAGAAAAGCTAATCCCAGGTTTGAAAGGAACTTTGATGCCCATGGACAATCACGGACAGCAGCGCCTTGGATAACATCTTTTGTGCCAAGGAGTAACGTTGACTCACTGATCACCATAAGACTCCAATTTACTCGAGCGTGTACCCAGACCCTGTCAAAAGGCATGTTGCTTTTCAAATCTTTTCAAACAAAAAATATTGCAGCAATTGTTTTTGGTACAATAACCTCATTGAATATTTTGTGATAAAATAAATTCATGTTACCTAAAATAGTGCCTTCCTGGAGGGTAATCAAGCTCAAGTGACTGATATCTTCTGGTAGTGGCAAACCCGGATGGAACAGGTAATTCAGCATCATTGAACCATTCAAACTTTTCTAGTACAACATAAGATTTTTCTACATAATCGGGGATACGGGATCCACAATTGGCAAGGACTCTGGGATGAAGTGAGCTCAAAGAGATTTTTATTTTATTGACTTCTGGTCCATCTAATTGGAAGTATAGAGGAGCGCCTTTTGGAGCAGTTATATCTGTCGCCTTTGGGACAGCCCCCTTTGCTGTAGGTAGTCTCATTGGAGGATTACTTCCAGCTGAAGCGAAGTTGAACATCGATGGGTAGAATAAGACGTGCAAACATTTTACTAGGCTTTGGAGCTGAAATAAAAAAAAAATATGCGTCCTCTGAATTGGAAATAAAATTAAAGCGTAATCTTGTGTTTAAAAAAGGATTTAATCTGTGTTACTGTTAATGTACTAACATCACATAACATTATGAAAATATATTATTACTTTTACCCAAACGGGAAACAACAATTTGTGGATCACACAGATTGATTCCGTGTGGGAATTAAAACTCAATTACTGCATCAGCTGTATAGTCGAATATAGATAATATGATATATTGTAAAACAATATCAAAATTCTAGTCAATACCTCCATGAATTGAACCCATTCTCTGAGTTCCTCCTTCATCTGTTGCACCTGTAAGGCCGCGGCAGCATTCATTGCGGACTTCGTCTGGTCTTTCGTTTTCCTGTCTTTTTTCTTTTTGTTATCACTCGTGTCTTCCTTTATAGATGAAAGTTTTTTTGAGTATATCTCCTTTGTGTGGGGGTACGAATTTTTTATTTTATTTTATTTCATAGTTCGGCAAACAGAGCAGACGGATTACCTGACGGTAAGCAATCAGCGCCGCCCATAGACACCCGCAACGGAGGAGTTACGTGTGCGTTGCCGAACTTTTAGGGATTAGGGATTTGGAGATTTAGGGATTGAGGAGGGAGTGGGGGAGGGGAAGGATTGGGCCTCCGGTAACCTCACTCACACGACGAAGTTTATTATAAATAACATATACAATCAAACTAACCATGCCGTGTTCTTCTATAAATCCGTACGTTATCTGCAACCAAACATAAAATAATTATTAGAATTCAGCTTATTAGACAACAAGTTTGTGTCATACGTGATAGAGTAACAAACTCACCAGCGTTTATTTTAACAAAATTAACTAATAGGATGATGATCACAAGATGTAATGGTTACTACTACATAATGTAAAGGTATATTATTCAAAAACACTTATCTTGTGTTGTGATCCATACTAGGATTTTCTCTTGTGTTGTGGGTGCGTACAAGACATACTATTATCCATACTCATCACACCCCATATTAGCGATTTTTAGATCATAAAAAAGTTTGTTCTGTGCAGGAATTGGATTCGTAATACGTGCACAGCAGCCGGTAACCCAGACTTCAACGTCAATCGTGCCTTAGACACAACACGACTACTGCTAAACATAATTCTCGCCCAATGAATTTAGTCTTCATGAAGCAATGTGTATATTCTCCAGTCATTCGATCTAGTTATATAAAATAGTAATCAATTACCGATTCTGTACTCTGGACGTCTAAAAGATGAGGAGCGTAAGAGAGCTTCATTAGCCCATTAACCTTGAGGAATCTGGTCCTTGGACAGGCGTACATGGCGTAAAGACCATGTCTTTTAGCCCAGTCCACCCAACGATAGTATTTCCACAAGGCTACCTCTGGAACCAAAACATTAAAGAATTAGCAGTTTATAATAATGCCAATTTTAACTTTTATTTATTTAATCATGAACAATTTATATTGTATTTGATGTCAGTATATGATAAAAATTTGCATGCAATGTAATAAAAATAACAGAAAAAAGAAAACATTAACACAATAAAATAATACAAAAATAACATAGAAATTAAATAAAATTGCATTTACAAAAGTATTAAATTGGAAATAATTAAATTATAATTCATCGAATGTGTACAAGTTTCTCGCCAACAGAAATTCTTTTAACTTAGCTTTAAAAGAGCTAGTATACAATGAATCTTTTAAATCTGCTGGCAGTTTATTCAATAATTTTACTACTTGGTATTGAGGACTATGCTTGGCAACATTTAGGTTAGGTACAATTTTATTATTGAAGTCCTTTCTACGAGTACTTTCCCTGGCTATTCTCTCGTTTTCAGACTCAAATTCATGGACATACTTTTTAAAATTAACCAACAGCACTAATATGTACAGGCTAGGCAATGTTAGGATACCTAAACGTTGAAAGTGAGGTCGACAGCTTTCTCTTTGTGATATTCTTACAATTGTGCGAACTGCTCTTTTCTGTAGAATAAATGCTCTCTGAAAATTATACCCATAGCTTTTCCCCAAGAACTGTATACTGTATCGGAGTCTAGATTCAACAAGAGCATAATACACCATCTTTAACTGGTCCTTATTTATTTCATCTCTTAAAGTCCTTAAGGCAAAACATGCAGAAGATATAGTGGAGTCTATATGGGCTAGTTCTTTTTTCCAATTCAGTAAATCATCTAAATGGATACCTAAAAATTTGACATCTCTCACTAATTCTATCTTTTCATTGTTAAGACTTATATCCATATTTTCTTTATTGCCGGCCTTGGTCCGAAACAACATGATGTTTAAACAACTGAACAAAACCGGCGACGAACTCAGAGACATTTAATGATTATTTCCAGCTGTTCTTTAGTAACTTTTTTGTTACGAAAACCACTGCTAAGGATTGGGTTAATTGACTATTAAATCTTCTCTGAGTACGGTGAGTAGACACTGTAACCGTAACCTTTCGTAGAAGACTAGAAGACTATCTGTCACTGAGTATTAGAAATGCGTCTAGTAGCTGTTGAGTTTATCAGGGGCCACAGATAGCGGATGGATATAGGAGACTTCTTATTATTATGTGTAAATATGTGCGGTATATATTCATAATATTAGATACTGAAAGTTTAAGATATTTTTTTTTGCTAGGCGAAAAAATAACGAATGACGAGTGGTACGGGGGGAGTGTCAGACTCTTACTGACTAAAAATTAATGCAAGCGCAATAAGGCACCGCGGTCTTGGCCTAAAGCAGAAGAAGGAAAAAGGGGGGGTTTCTTAATCAGCAAGAGTCTGAAATTATTCAATGATTATCTTTCCCCACACAAAAATTAGGCTATAAGTACTTATTCAGTAATCTGTGACACCATCGCATTAGGTGTGAACATGTTAGGATCTGTTGATTTTAAGTAAATAAATATAAGCTTGAACACACAATAGCTATATAAAATACAAAAAGAAAAATTTGTCAACGAAGCTCTCAACCTGGTTCTGGTAAAGGTTTCTTCAGAGGTAGATCCCTTGCCATCGTGACAAGCAAGTTCATCTCATGTCCCGGCGTTATCCCTGGGAGCTGGTAAGGGGGGCAGTCTTTCGTGTCTACGAGATCGATGTACGTCAAACTATTTCTCTGAAAAAGAAATAACAATAATTATATAAATTATTTATGTAATAGGTCGGCAAACGAGCAGACGGATTACCTGATGGTAAGCAATCAGCGCCGCCCATGGACACCCGCAACGGAGTAGTTACGAGTGCGTTGCCGACCTTTTAGGGATTAGGAATTTGGAGATTTAGGGATTGGGGAAGGGTCCAGGGAGGAGAAGGATTCGGCCTCCAGTAACCTCACTCACACGGTGAAACACAACGCTGTGGTTGTTTCACGCCGGTTTTCTGTGAGGCCGTGTTATCGCTCCGGTCGAGCCGACCCATTCGTGCCGAAGCATGGCTCTCCCACACTTAAAAGCTTTAAATTATCTACTAGCTACTCTCGCGCGGTTTCACCCGCTACTCGGCTCCTACAGATCGTAGCGTGGTATTGTACTATATAGCCTAAAGCCTTCCTCGATATATAATCTATTCAGTAAAACATTCATTTTTCAATTCAAAACAGTAGTTCCTGAAATGAGGCGTTCAAACAAACAAACCAACTCTTAAGCTTTAAAACATTAGTATAGATAGATAGTTATAGTTTACTCATCCATGCCTCAAAACTATGGAGTGTCTTATCCTCATTTCCCAAATTGTATTCCCTATAAGGCCACAATGGGCATGTAACTCCTTTGCAGTCACCATGGACAGAATGGACACCGTCGATTCCTCGTCATCAGGTGATCCACCGCCGTCGGTTCGTCTCTCTTTCAATCGGTGGCTAACTCGTCTGTTAGTTTGATAACATGTTTGGATTTATACTATGTTTTGGATATATACGTCGTGATATCAGCCGTGAAGTTTATAGCCTGTGTTCACCAGGAATAGTATAGCTTTCCAGCAATGAAAGAATTTTTCAATTATGTAAAGTTGTTTCAGAGGGTGTTTCGTTTAAAGAAACAAAAAATAAAACTTTCGTTCTAGATATCAGCATAGATAATTCAAAGCTCTCAAAATTTCCAGAGAATACACACTACGAGTATCTTGTATTATGATATAGGTACATATCGCATACATCTATTATACTAAAATAGTAAGGAAACAAACCCTTTAAAATAAATGGCTAAGCTAAGCATAGCGGGTTTAATACTGAAGTCACGAAAAGCGACAATATCCTGAAAAAAAAGCTGAAAAATACGAATATTACAGGCTTGATTACGTTTCAGGCAACACATGCGACTCCCGGGACACGTTAAAAATACAAATGATGTAATAAACGCTGAAGCTTTCAGTAACGTTTGAGGTTTCAGTCTTATAAAAAAAGGTCACGACACTTTGATTTTTTATAGTATAACCTTTTACATAAGGTTTGTTTTCCGGCGATAAACCTAATTTAAAATATTTTGTAACAAATCAAGTTGATGTTTTCTTAAAAGTCAAAATCAATTATTTCAATTAGACCACATTAGGAACTTTTGAACGTCAAGCAAAAAAAGGAAAAAGGTATTTCAAGAGCTTTACCATTAAGCGTCTCAGTCTGTCCGTCTGTCCTCAGTAAAGCTATTTGCTCATTCCAAAGTGTATATTCCTAAGCGAACGAGCAAGAAACTTCATGGTTACTCTTTTTTAATCAGTTTTACAATAAAATATCAATTAAAATATCAACATAAAGATCAAATACACAAAAATTACTTTGATATTTTATTTCTAAATTTATTGATATTCACGATAACGAACTGACAAAATCTCTACTAGTTTGAAGTCACAACGAGACCCTAGTCAATGAGCAGTGAGCGCGTTATAAAAAAAAACAGTATAACTTAAACAAAAACGCACTTACCCTAACAACGTTCGCTAACTCCTTGGCAGTAGACTTCTTAGTGCTCCTAGATTTGATGGTGCTAGGCTGGGTTTCATCATCATCATCCCAAGAAAACAATGGTACTTCGGAAGTGATCCGTGTCCATAAATCCTCAGCACCTTTGAAAGATCATCAGATTAGTATCTGCTTCGCTGGCAGAGCAAAGAGTCTATCCTTACAGCAAATAAAGTGATTTATTATTCACCTCGGTTTTTTCTATACTAATATTATAAAGACGTAAAATTTGAAAGTTTGTATGAAGGGGGTAATCTTTGCAACCGCTGGTCGGATTTCCAAAATTCTTTCACTGATAGATAGCTACAATGTTCCCGAGTGCTATAGGCTTTAAAACAACACACTACGATTAAATGGAGCCAAGCAGCGGTTGATACGGCGCGAGAGTAGCTAGTATGTTATACAGATATCGTGCAGATAGATTACCTGATGGTAAGCAATTGGCGCATTTTGGGGATAATGGGTTCGGGGATTTAAGGATTGGGGAGGGACGGGGAGAGATACCCGGCCCTGAGAAGACAATGGGATGGGATGGGATGGGATGGGTTTTAGTCAGTAGGAGTTTACTTTTCTTCTAACACTCGACTAGAGAGGTTATTGAATACCATTTCCCACCAAAAATGATTCTACGTCAATTTGTATGACTTCTGCAGGAAGAATAAGTCCAAGCAATGTCTACTAAATACTTACCACTTTATACCAAGCAGCCTAACCTTTGAGAAAATCAAGTTCACGAACTCAGTCGACGATTTGTGTAAACATTTTACTTCATAATTCTTTTTTACCAATACAAAAACTTTATTTTAAAGTTATCAATAATGTAATCATCATTAGACTTACTAGACATAGGATAAGAAATATTGACACAGCCAGTCAACGCATGCATGATGTCAAAGCCCTTTAACTGTTCGTCAACCACGCCATCGGAGTCATCAGAATTCCCGTCAGGAGCAGCCAGCTTGAGCAGCGCCTGTTTGATTTTGATTAGCAATTAGTTGCGCCCGTGCTAAGAATGTTTATAGTTGCAGGCGTTAGTTTGTGCAGACACTGTTTAGGTTAGTTCTGAATTTTACATTGACTCAGTAGCAAGTGTAATAAAATGTTGCATCAGCTGGATTAGGTAGCTGACTTAGTTGGGTTGACACCTAAAACGCTTATAAAATTGCAAATCAAACATCAAAATATGGAGTGTAATGTGTATGGGTAATTGCATGTTTGTGTACGCACCCTGATTAAAAAGTATTACGGGTATATAACTCCCTAGTTATATCAATTACCTACATCTTATGATCATCATCCTATTAGTAAATAAGTATCATAAAAACAAACATTTGTAAGTTTGTTTCTCTATCACGTACAAAACTTTTTTTATATCATAAGTCGGCAAACGAGCAGACGGATTACCGGTAAGCAATCAGAGCCACCCATGGACACCCGCAAAAACGGTGGAACTACGAGTGCGTTGCCGACCTTTTGGAGATTTTGGATTAGGGGAGGAGAAGGATTGGGCCTCCGGTGACCTTTTCAAGCCGGTTTTCTGAGGGGCTGTGGTATCACTCCGGTTGAGTCGACCCATTCGTGCCGAAACATGACTCTCTCATACATACTTATTTACTTACTTTTTCGACGTAAAAAGGCGTTAAAGAATCACCTAGATTTACCAATATTTTGACAATATTAGATCATAACCGCATTCAAATGACAATGTCATTGAGCTAGATCTAGTCCAATAACTATGAAAATTAGATGAAAACAAAACAAAAAGTCTAACTAGGTCTACAACCACAATCGTCAACAATTTGGTATCTAACCGTTTTAAGTTTACATAACGCTTTATTACACAGACTAAATAAATTCCCTAATCTATAATATAAAAATGAATCGCAAAATGTATTGGTAAGCGCATAACTCAACAACGCCTGGACCAATTTTGCCAATTCTTTTTTTGTTGTGTTTGTTATTGTCAGGAGAGGGTTTTTATCAAAGAAAATATTAGAAAAGTAGAGTGAAGATTAGAAAAAAGTGACCCTATGATAGCGAGATACTTGGACCTGTGCGAAGCGGGGGCGGTCCGCTAGTTTATTACAAGAGCATGTAAGTCAATGGTTTTCTACTTTTTACGAGTTCTCACACACAAAGGATTGCCAAGTAAGGACTCTTGTGGATGTCGGACAAAGAATCGTTAGGTATTCGATTATTAAATAAACTATATGTATAAAAAGATTGGGTTGTTTCCGAAACCTGCGATGTGACTTTTTTTCAAGTTGCATTTCCTTGCCATGATTAATAACATAATAAGAAAATAATTACGAGTAATCCTGGATTTTCGATTTCTTATTATAAGTTTGAAATAGCTAATGCACGTTGAGCAAACGTTGTTTTTTTAACGTTAATGCTCATATCTTGTCCCGCTTCTCCGTGTGAGAGTGAGTTTGCTTGGCAGTAGGCACTTCATGTTTTTAGAGTTAGCACAGCTAGCCTTACAACAGACTTATGAGAAAACTGAACTTACTTATAAATCAGCAAACATCCAAACAAGTTACTTTTGTTACACACAAATTATTTTCACAAAGAATTCCAAAGAACCGCAGCTCAATTGCCTAGCCACCGAACTATCTAGCTAAGTTGCGGTTGCAAGAAATAAATCTCCAATTTATTTCGCAATAAAGTAGCGGTTACAAACACAGGACCCGCCGTGAGACGAACGAAGCATAGGTAAATGTTTGCAGTGCATTCTTTATACTTTTAAAACACTCTCACATCAACATACTCTAAATTCAACTTTTCTTTCTTCATCTTTATTTCCAAGAATGAAGGTTGAAAATCCATCGAGGTTATTCGACAGGTTAGTATATCTTGATAAGCTTACTTTGGTGCAGGAGAAGGTGGTTTAACACACACAGGTTTTCCAATAGTCTTGCTCTTTATTACATGGGGTTTGTGACTAAAATGGATGTTATTACATACTCGTATACAAGAATAATGACGGTGTTTATATTTATATCTTGAAAAAAATCTGTGACACTAAGCCGAAAATGATCACATTATCGTGCCGATATTGGTTATATGCGCGACAGTGGCAACGCGTAGCGTTTAGAACATTTTCGGAAGCTGTTAAATTATAGCAATGTAAACATTATAATTTTCTTTGCAAATATAAATAAAACCAAATATTAAAATATTATTGTTGACATTATTTAAGTGCAATTTATTAAATAGTTTTACTGTAAAATGAATTTAATAATAAAAACCGATAGCTGATCGTCCGCATTTGTTTCCAATTTCTGACGTGTTGTGCGCTGCGGTCGTTATCTGTCCGCCACTACTCGCTTTGCACATAGCCAATAACAAGATGACTGGTATTGACTTGTATAACAATTAATAAATATTTCTGTGCTTATTTTTTCATAGCACATCGGCTAACTAGAAGGAGCACCAGCAATAGACGTTGTATTTGGGGATCCGCCAAAAAGATATAAGTGCATGGCTGGTCTTTTGGGGTTCGCGTTTTGAGGAACGGGGATTATGGGGAAGGATTGGTCCTCATAACATGTGGCGAAATACAATAAAAGCATTATTTAACGTTGGTTATTTGCACGGGTATAATACTGAAACTAAATGTCTCCACGACGATGGATTTATACATAGAAACATACCTCTTCAATCAGTAAATGTATCAAAAAACCTACTAATATTTTTAAAGATTTAGGGATTAGGGATGTAGGGACAGAGAAAGCGACTTAGTTTTATATACTATGTACTGATAGTGATGATATACATATTGTTCTTCAATTTGATCGGTGTTAAATGGGACAGGTATTCTAAAAATAGACGCTCAGGAATTTAGGACACATAAAAGGTTTGGAAAATTCCTTTGGAACCTGTTAAATAGCGTACGAAACCACGGGCGGTAAGCTAGCCCATAATAAAATAACAACAACAAGCCTATTACTTGTTACTCTCTTTGTGTTAGAAAGGTTATAATTTCGCGGTGATTCAATAAAATGACTGAAATGTTTTGTAAATCTTTCGCAACGTTTATTGTGGTCGATTGTACCTGCTAAATAACTCGGTAATACAACTTGTACATGTTTTTATAAACAGGCATAAACTAATAATGGTATTTCTGAAGCTTGTTAAACATGTTCTAGACGTTGAATTGAAAACAAGAATACTTATGACTGTGACTCTTACTTAACAACACCCCGTAGTTTTTGCGCAGGGGGTCAAAGATAGACTATAATTATAATAAATAGAATATAGCAATGGATTCAGAATGTTGATGGGACTGCCCCGTTTCTGGAGTGCTTCTGGCATGTTCACACACGCACACGTTAATGGCTTTCATGCCATCATTAGACAGAAGTCTGCCTCGCTGCTCTGCAGAGTGCGTGCCAGTTCCAACTCCATCCTGAAAACCATTGCAGGGATGTACGATTCACCTATGTTGCATGACATTATGCGAAGATGTATCTTCAACAACAGACTTGTTACTTTATCCAATACTAACATAGTTTTTAAGATATCTCTTTTTTACTAACCAGAATGTTCATTCGCTTCCCTGTTATCCTATAAAAATGACATTATGTAACCCCTAAGTCGGCTTTTGTGACCACGAAGAACAGTGATGACAATGGATAAGATGCGTTTAAACTAAACAACAAATTGAAATATTATAATAATGTAAACACAACCACTGCGATATCGAAAAGTAGGTCTCAATGTATGTGGTCGATGTGAGTTCAAAGAAACTCATGTTATGAACGTGTTCACGGATGCTATGGCTAATTAAATGGACTGATTGACTTCCATTTCTCGTTTCGTTTCCGTGTATCGATATAATTTATTGATTGAGGTTGTTTTTATGTAACTGCTGTTTCTTGTGTGGACAGGTCCGTTGGTTGAGTGATTGTAGTATTTCGGAGAAGAGATGAGTGCAATTTTTAGCCCTTCAGAAAAATTTTTGTTTTTGATTTTACGACATGTTAGGTATTAGCTTATCTTCTGAATATTTTGGATTAATGAACAATTTAAACCCTCTTAAGATACCATGAAATGTAACAATGCTATTGATCTGGGAATTAACCAGACACCTTTTCCTCATAAATCCAAAACATTGCTCATCACACCAAACAAGCCCTTTAACATCCTTAATAATTAAGTAATAATTAAGGAATCGCTTTGTTAAAATTGTTATGTTAAGGAATAAATACTTATAATTAAGATCTCAGTCATGTAAAATCTGTGCAAAAAATACTTACCTTAGTGAGCAGTAAGGGCCACAAATAGATCACGCTGGCTGTCACAGCAGGAGGTACGTGCTTCGACCCCGGTTTTCCTGGAGGATGGGTCATGAGTGGGGAGAATGGTAGCAAGGGTGCTCCATTAGAATCCACTGGTACATAATCATTGACCCAGACGCATCGCCATGCACCCAGGTAGAAGAGACGAACTAGGTAGCAACCTGATGATGGAAAAGAAAACTTAAAATGGACCATCAAAATATATTGTTTTGATCCAATTGATCCAGTGGTAAGGTAAGACTGTTGCGGGTTTCCAGTACGGGACAACACCTTGTGTGATCAAAAAATTGTTGCTCCAAATCTGGGTATAATATGTACCTATGTGAAATAGTATGTTTGTAACCATATATAACCATAGATGACAAACTACAATGGGGGCCCCATATCACATCTCTGGCAGGACGGTTGAGCTCTGCAGCATTTGCTGTCTGGAAGATCCGACAGCTAACAGATGTGGACACTGCAAGACTGGTGTACTTCGGCTACTTTCATAGCATTATGTCGTATGGCATCTTGTTGTGGGGACAGGCTGCTGACATTGAGTCTATCTTTGTCTTGCAAAAGCGTGCCATCAGAGCTATTTACAATCTAAGGCGTCGTGAGTCTCTTAGAGAAAAGTTTAGAGAGATCAATATTATGACCGTGCCATGTCAGTTTATTTATGAAAACATTATGTATGTTAGGAAAAACTTAAAAATATTCGATAAGGTGTCAGATAGACATAATTATCAAACTAGACATAGAGATAGATTATGTCAGCCATTATTTAGATTGGCAAAGGTACATAAGTCGTTCATGGGATTCTGTGTTAAATGTTATAACAGAGTCCCAGGCGAAATACAACAATTAAATGAAAGAAATTTTAAATTATGTGTAAAGAAAACTTTATGTAGAAAAGCATACTACACACTGAATGATTACATTGTAGATAAAGATGCTTGGAGACATGCTGGTCCTGCTCCACAGGATAGCAAACGTACACCAAAATAAATAACGTTCCAATGGATTTTGCTTGAACGGGACTTCTTCATTTTAGTGAAATTGCATTATATTGTATAACTATAACTTGATAAATTTGTAAATGTGAGTGCCCTGTAACCTATTATAATTGGTTAGACTAGCAGAATGTCGGTCCTTATAACAGCTTGGAGTTGTCATGCTCACTGAAAGGTCACACTGGCGGTGGCATGGGCACTGGATCGCTTAATTCCCTATAATATGGTTGAGTTGGGCGATGCTGGTGTACGTGTCATGCTCGTGAACGAGCGCCGTCAGTTGGGACTGGTCAGCTCCAGACTGTCTATTGTCCTTAAGGTTACTTTATTTTTATATTTGAATAAATATTAGTGTTACACTGTTCTCACATAATTGAACCAACTGTTTGTAAAAGGAATCTGTATGTGAAACTGATTTAAAAAGAGTAACCATGGAGTTTCTTGCTCGTTCTTCTCCATCGGAATCTACACTTTGGAACGAGCAAATAGCTTCACTAAGAGGACTGACCGACAGACTGACACTATTTTTTTTATTTTATATTTTGTTTGACGTTCAAAAGTGCCTGTAAAGGTCTAATTGGAATAAATGATTTTTGACTTTTTTTTTGACTTTTGACTTTTGTAAACGCGCTCGCGGCAAAAGAAAAACCTAACTGTGGGATTTGAAAAAATGTACTCCCATAACTAGCGAATGACTACATCGGATTGGATGTTTTGTTTGGTTTTTTTTTTGGAGTGTTTGTCAGGACAAGGTTTGTGTAAAAGAAAAAAGTCGATACTTCACCAGGATGATTGGAAACATTAAGGTGAAACCGGTGCTGGCTGTTAGTAGTAGATAAACGGTGTTTTGCGTGAACGCTTGGTTGTTGAAATATATGCAAGTGATACAGCCAGTATAATGAGTACATCACACGGCAATTATCACATCGCTAGTGAAGAAGCGTTGTATAAAATGCACCAAACTCTTCACAAAAACCTAAAATAATACCTCACACTTCTCGCGCAGCCTTCAACAAATTACATTAACTTATCTCTTCAAAAATTATAATAATTTTCTGGTAACACTTTTAGCATTCATAAGTGCACTAAAAGATATACTTAAGTGCAGATCTGATGCAGTTGATTCTTCGTTTCCTACTTTCTAACAATACCATGTTTAGCTTGTAGGAAGTCGATTCAAGGCATCCCTTTCTCATCAGTAAACTCATGGTTTACCTTCACAATTGCTTGTTAGCTTTTTACAAGACACGTAGAAAAAGAAGGAATTTAAATAATGATATGACATTATATCTGCTTAGATGTATTCTCTGAAGGTACAATCATTGTAGTAGGTTCAGTTTTACAAGCTATTTTATTAATATTATTTTTACTTGGACTGGAGTGATACCAAAGCTTTAGGGAACATCGGCGTGAAGCAACGTTCACGTTGTGTTTCGCTGTAAGAACGAGTTTATCGGAGGCCTAATCCTTTACCGTCTCTATCCTTAATTCCCAAATCCTGTATCCTTAATTTCTACTCACAGAAAGCCCCTTTAGTGTTTCGAGTGTCCATGGGTGGCAACGACTGCTTACCATCAGGTATAACGTCACCATATTTGCCGATTTAAAATAAAAAAAATCATTTTATCGTAAAATTAAAACAATCGAATATTTGTATGCGTAGTAGGTAAATTGGTCATAACATTTTTTTTTTTCATTTCGTATATATATTATTTTGTCATTTGTAACCTACAAAGTGCTTACCATTTTTAGATAAAGTAGGTTTATGCTGCGTCCCGCCTCCAGGTTTGGTTCCCGGAGAGTAAATATGGTATTTTGGTCGCCAGCCTTCCTGACCAAAGCTACACGAGAACATTTCCCACTGGTGTTCTATCTGAAATAATCAAATTCATAAATATTGAGATGATACAGAATGTATGTTATTACATTATATTTAAGAATATACTAATCTTATAAAGAAAGTCGTGTTAGTTACTCCACTTATAACTCAAGAATGGCTGAACCGATTTAGCTGAAAATTCGTAGTGAGGTAGCTAAGAACTGGGAGAAGGACATAGGATAGAAAAGGATAGAGTAGGTAGTGTACGTTAGGTAGAGTAGGGTAGGTAGTGTAGGGTAGGTAGAGTAGAGTAGGGTAGGTGGAGTAGGGTAGGGTAGGTGGAGTAGGGTAGGTAGAGTACTGTAGGTAGGGTAGGGTAGGAAGTCAAATGACGGGAGCAAAGCCGCGGGTAAGAGCAAGTATATAATAGAATAGGTACTTAAAAACTAACGCGCGCTAACCAACCTAACTCACGTCAGATCACGGGTTTGGTGCTTATGATTATAAGCTCCTCTCGTGCCTGGAGACTGTTCGAGCACCTTCGGATAATTACGGGAGCAAGCCCATGTGCTTGTCTCGAGACAGTAGCAAAATATTAATCATAATATTTTCGGTCTTTTCTATAAGAAGACGCAAACATCTTTGGTCTACTCACCGCTAAACTCTCAACTCGTTCCAATATAAAGCAGGCAGACAGGACTTCTCTGCAAAACGAAGACCTGAACAGGACTTGGGTGTGACTGAGCTGAATGTCTGATATTGCCATTTTGCCACCATCATTATCCTGTTAATCAATATAATACTTCATTAGGATAAATTGTATGGGAGGGTCATGCTTCGTCACGAATGGGTCGGCTCTACCGAATAACACGGTCTCACAAGAATCGGCGTGAAACAATGCAGTGTTTCATCGTGTTAGGGAGGTTATCGGAGGGAAAAACCTTCCCCTCCCCCATCCCTCCTTAATTCTTAAATCCCCAAAAGGCCGGCAACGCTCGTAACTTTTGTGGTGTATAACACCACAAAAGTTACGAGCGTTGCTTGTGGGTATAAACGGACAACGCTAATTGCTTACCAACAGATCCGTACCTACACTAATTTCACAGTAGACGACACTCCGAGTGTCGGGGATCAAGCGACAATCTCCACCCACCAAAGCGCGGGTCTGCGCATGGTGACCAAGGGTAGCTCGCCGCCCAACCAGAACCAGACCAAAACGTGCGGCGCGTAGCGTTTCGTGCGCGCCTCAAAGAGTCACCATAAACAAAACAGAGTACTACAGACGGGGCCCTATAGGGCCGATGTTCAGTCAGGGTAGCGTCATAAGCTACGCCGGCCTCGGCCTTAATCAGGAGAAGGAACAGTGGGTTTTAGTCAGTAAGAGTCTGACACTTCCCCTCGCCTCACCCCTAATAATAATAGGTACTACAAAACAAACTATGGAATGAAAAAGTAATTGAACTCATTGTGATTCATTGTCACCGTTCAATTATTTAATTCATCGATAATATCATAAACCTGATGGTTTCATATATGGATGTTTGTTCCGTGAACGTGAAACGACTGAATAAATTTTAACAGATTGGAGTCTAAAATGCCATACTGTTCATCTTGGTTACGGCAGGCAAAGCCGTTCACAGAAGCCAGTTCAACCATAATCGTCCGAACATATGGAAGTTACCTTGCAACGTGGAATGTACAATAATCGGTTCCGGTTTGTTACGGCATGGCAAACTGACTTCCAATTAGCAAGGACAGCACGAAACGTGTATAAACATGTTTAAATTGAATTGAAACTGTATTGAGAGTTTTTTTTTTTTTTTTTTGTGAGGGGAAAATCATCAAATGACTTTTCCCGCCCAGGGCCGGGCAGGAGGGAGTGTCAGACTCTTACTGACTAAAAACCCCCCTGTTCCTTCTCCTGCTCTGTGCCGAGGTCGCGGTACCTCATTGCGCTTACCCCGCAACCCCGGCTGAACATCAGCCCTTTAGGGCCCCGTCTGTGGTGGTCGAATGGCTCTTTGAGGCGCGCGCGGAACGCTACGCGCCGTACGCTCGGGCCTGGTTCTGGTCGGGCGGCGACCTGCCCTTACTCGCCGATCGCAGGCCCGTGCTTACGGTGGCCGGAGATCGTCCCTAGATCCCCGACGCCCGTAGTGTCGCCAGTTGCGGCTGCTGGGGCGTGAGGAGGAGGATTGCTCCCTCACGCGGGCCGCCTCTCTCTTTGCGAGCATGACCGCTTCACAAAAGGAGGAGACGGCGTCCCAGTTCCTCTCACTCCGCACCATGGCCTCGACTAAGGCCGGGCGCGAGAGGTCGCCGCCGCCAATCACTTCCCTGAGGATACGGCGGTGCTCAGCCCAGGCAGGGCATACCGCTACCGTATGCTCCACCGTATCCTCTAGGTGGTCCTCACAATGACGACACTCGGGCGTTTCCTCCCGCTGGATCCGAAACAGGAACCTACCGAAGCTGCCGTGCCCGGTAAGCACCTGCGTCAGGCGGAAGGTGAGGACGCCGTGGCGTCTCTCAAGCCCCTCCTCAAAGAGGGGTCTTACCGCTGCTATGGTAGCGTGCCCGGCCCTCGGTTGCGACAGTCGTTGTTTCCACTCTGCCATGAGATCTCGCCCACGCACTAATTTGGCGCGGCAGAGGATCTTCGCCCCGGCAACTGTATTGAGAGTTAGTTTTCATATGCTCTCGTGTTGGATTGGACATTGGTTTGATTACAATAAGTATTGGAAAAAGTAGATGTAGTAGCTGTGTAGTTATAATGTCAAAATGTTAATACCTACATCTTCAAAATTTATCCGCAGAAGTCATTTATCCGAATGAGCTAGCTCAACCAGAGTGATACCAGGCAGGGTCTCACAGAATACCGGCTTGAAACCCCGCTTACGACATTATTTAGCCGTGGTACTATTTTTCCCGGAGGTTAAATAAATCCATTTCACCTACCCATCCTCAATATCTAAATCCCCTATATTTTAATCTCTAATAACCCAAAAACGGCAGGCAACGAAGTAGTAGTAACCTCAATGGTATTAAAAGTGTCCATGGGTGGATCCGAATAGCATACCCTCTGGTAATCCGCGTGATAGTTTGTCACCCTTACCTACAAAATGAAAAAAAAAATTAAATCACCTCAAAAATGAGTACTTCGGCATTCCATCTAGCTTCTGCCAGATCTTCAGCCCTGATCCATCCATGGAGGAAGTGTTGTGCTGACCTTGGTAAAGGCTGGGTTTGGTCATCGATCCAGATTGGTGGCTCATGTGAGGTCTTCACTGCCGCCTTTACTACATAATAATGAGCTCTGAAGGCGGCTGGACCCTAAAATTTCAAAAACATGTTTTAAGACCATCTTCTGATTCTACTTTGGGTCCAAAGTCAAGGCATCCTTGGGGCGGTTTGCTGGGAAACTAAAAGATTTCTGATTTATTCAGCAAGAATATGGAATTACCCCGAGCGATCGGAGAATAATATCAGCTGCCTTAGATCCCGCAAAGAAACAAGGGATATTATTTTCTTATCACTTCCCTCGGTGAGAGTGATTTCAACTCAAAAGCACAAAATAGAATGTGCAACTGTATGCACATAGGTACTAACATATATACCTGCTAGTTATATGTAAGTACCTATTTTCTATGATTATTTAGACACCACTGACATACAGTGACGAAAACATCGTGAGGAAACCTGGACTTATTATTTATAATTAAGTATAAGTTTAAATTCGCCAATCCGACTTGAGCAAGCGTGGTAATTAATACTGAAACTTCAACTTATCCTTTGAGAAGAGGCCTTTGCTCAGCAGTGGGCCCTTATAGGCTGATGATGTGATGTGATTCCACTGTATTTGTTACATATTGACTGCGGCCATCTAGACATGAGGAAACCGCCCCTAAGCAGTATTACCTAATTCAATTTCAAGTAGCAGGATGATACTATTATATCCGTTTCTTACCAAGCCCCAAGTGTCTATTTGCAATTCATTATCTCGGAACTCCCTGAAAGGACACTCGAAGGGAACCACTTCGGCGACGACTGGCTTCATATTTTCCAAAGCCTTCCTCGACATTTTAGGAGTTACCATTATATAATCTACAATTTAATATAATTTATTACATACAAACAAATATAAAAATATATTTTGTTTGACAACAAAACTTATGTCATTTGTGACAACGCCAAGGAATAACAAATATGGTTCCTATAAGAAAAGGTGTTAAAACGAATTATTATAAAACCTTCGAAGCTATTTATACTCTTTGCAGTAAGACGTGTTTTTATGTCATAGAGTGGTCCAGAAACGCTATTATAGCAGGTAGGCGGTAAGAACTAAGACCCCTCTTTTAGGAGTGGCTTGAAACCCAGGGCGTCGTCGCCTCCCGCTGTTTCGAACGCAGGTGCTTTTCGGGCACTGCAGCTTCGGTAGGTTCCTGTTTCGGATCCGTCGGGAAGAAACGCCCGAGTGTCGTTATTATGAGGAGCACTCAAAGGACACGGTGGAGTATATGGTGGTGGTGGTGTACTCTGCTTGGGTTTAGCAGACGAAGATCAAAGAAAAGTTTGCTCATAGAAAAATGGCGGTGAAGTAAGGAAGGTTATCCTGCTATGACATTCCAATGTAATATGCTATGATAATAATGATTTTCTAAATAGCTTGATTCATTACATTAAGTCTATTTGCCAATCAAACAGCAACATCTTACATTTTGTTAGGGCGTAGCGTGTCTATAAGATGTGTTGATTAATAAAACCCTTTTTCCATAAAAAGTATTTCATATCATATCATACTCGTATCATTTTATTTGCATTCCACAAAGTGTTTTATAGGTGGTAGGTATACAAGGCTTAAAGCTACAGTACATTTATGGACCCTGTTAAGGCGCAGCAATATAGTTTATGATATAAGTATTTTTCAATTATATTGAAGGAACACAGATAATTATATTTTATTGATGATAATAGCCTAGGTAGTCATGCTTAACTAAAACTTTAATCGAGCAATTATTTTCATAATACACACATTCTCTGAAACGGCTCCAACAATAAAATCAAAAGAGTATCGGGGAAGGACGCAAAATTAATCTATATATGTTTAAAAATACCTAAGAAAATTTATAATAATTCAGAGCAAAGCTCAGTCATATAGATAATAAAATAAATAAAACTAGAAATTTCTAAACTAGTTGAATAATACTATGTAGTTCATATTGATATAGCTTGTTTTCATACTCGGACTAGTAAAGGTCGCCCTTACAAAAAATCCAGTCACGGACGGACATACAAAGACTGTATGCTGTGCTAGTATGTGTTACATTGTCAGCTACTTTTTACACGTGTTCTTATTTTTTTCTACAAAGCCTTTCAATCAATCTATAAGTTAAGTATTGAGAATACCTAGATTGTATATAGAAGTAGATAGCCCCTTTTAAAAATGAAGAGCCAGGCTTCGCAACGAATGAGTAATCTCGACCGGAGTGATAATACGGCCTCACAAGAAACTGTGAAACAACAACGTTGTGTTTACTGGTTAGCTAAACAAAAATGTTTAATCTCGAAGCTTGAGATCAGCACATTTTTTTTCCTTTATAATTTGTAGTTTCATATTGTGTTTATGACAATAGGGTCGCTTTCATACCGAAATAATTCTATTTCATATAAAAAATGTTGTATAATTTAAACTTCTCCAAACATGATTTACTAGGTTTATGAGTCTCATGAAAAATATTGAGTGTGGAAGAGCGCTTTGGCACGAATAGGCCGGCTCAACCGAAGTGATATCACGGTCTCACAGTGGCCCTTGCTCAGCTGCACTGCGTCCGCAGTGAAATAACGCCCACGTGTGGTTTTGCTCTATCCCTCCAATCCAAAATTGATCCCAAAATTATGGCAACACACTCGTAACTGTTTGGTGTTACGGATGACCCTGAGCGGCCCATTCTTAATGTTTGTAGTGTGCTATGTACTAATTACCTATTAAAAATGAAGTAAAACCTAAATAACTTTGCTCCATACTAGGATTTTGTCTGGTGTCTCTGTTATAAGTATATTTATTGTATTAATATATTATGTTTTTGTATTATATGTATATGTTGCCTTATGTTCCTATGCTTTTGAATGATTTGTGTGCTTCTTTAAAACCTGACTCTGACTGCACGGTTGGCGCGGTAGCTGGGCAACTGGCTGGCGCGCAACGTGTCGCGGGTTCGATTCCCGCACGGAACAACTCTTTTTGTGATCCACAGATTGTTGTTCCGGGTCTGGGTGTGATGTGCATGTGAAATTGTATGTTTGGAAACGCACCCACGACACAGGATAAAATCCTAGTGCGGGGCAATAGTTTTTTAAAAAAGAAAAATAAAAAGAAAAAACCTGTTGTTAACACTTCTCTGCATCACCCTTGAGGTTGACTGGTAGAGAATGCCTTCGGGCATTAAGTCCGCCTTTGTATGTATTTTTTATGTACATAAAGTGTTAAATAAATAAATCCATACCTATATTATTACAGTTTAGTTTTTAGGACATGTACTAAATAAAACGAATAATCACGTTCAGTGTTGAAAAGAAACATTTATTACACGTACTATTAAATCATTTATAATCTGAAGTACCTCATTAGTCTGCTTATGCAGGTGATTATGAGGTCTTCGGCTTAATTTCCGGGTAGTACAAAAAGTTTTATTGTAAGCACTAGACTAGATAAATGAGCTATCATATTTTTATATACAGATTTAATACGTACAAATGTTATATGAATTCAGAGTCACAAATTATTGCCTAGTGGACCAAATTTAATGATCATCAAGAATATATTTAATGATCATCAAGAATATATATAAGTGCTGGTGATCAATCGATATAAATGTGAAACTTTTCCAAGTTAGGATGAATTTTTGTTATTCTTTCATGTGGAACTACTGAACAGAACTGAATAAAATTTGGAATTTATGAGATAAATTAATAGTCTTTAAGTTTTGAAGAGTGCAAATTATCAATTGTTTTCTCTCTCTCAGAATTTATGGCAAGAGGGAGTTTTAGACTCTTACTGACTAAAACCCGCCGTTCCTTTTCCTGCTCCAGGTCTTTATGCACTTGACCCACGATTCTGGCTGGAGTTTGGAATAACACAAAGGCTATCTGGTACCCGGAGCAAAGCCGCAGAATCAAATAATACATTATAATAATTACTAAAAGTTTCTAAAAGCCTAAACGCCTAAACTAGATTACCGTAATTAAATTACTCTTAGCAAACGAACAAGCATCTCTCTACTTTCAGCAATTCTCATCACACTAACCGGGCCTCAATAAGAATCGCAATAATTTGCCACATTAAGCTAACTGACTGTTTGACTAACCATTGAAGTTGTTACCCACGCCGAGAGGCTTTCACGGCGAACCGGTACTCTTAACGTATTGGAACACTTCCTGCACTAAATGTCGACCCATATCCGCCTACTACTGGTATGTAATGGTCAAATAAATATTGCGTCGGACCAATTTGTTATTGATATTATATTGTATTTAGGTTGTCTTGTGGGTTGATCAGAGAAGTAGTTGTAGTCTTTAGAAATTGAATGTCAATGCCCTGGGTTCAGATCTATAATATTGTACATTTAGATCTGTAGCCTTTCTTCTATCGCGGCCGCATAAAAATGGATATCAACATTAGTTGTGGGTGACATAAATCATCATCCATTATTGCACAAAAAGGTAGATCCAAGGTTCGCTCCCGGGGTTGCAAGTCAAGCGCAATAAGAGACCGCAGCCCTGGTCTAGAGCAAGAGTAAGAATTGGGTGTTTTTTAGTCAGTAATAGTCTGATACTTAACTACCTCCCGCTTCACCTAGGGCGAGAGTAGCCATTTGATGACTCACGCGTCAAAAAATAGCTTCCCTTACTACTTGTATAACAGTTCCAAAATAAAACTTCATAATACTTAGCAACGCATGTCTGCCTACCCCACTTCAAACTGAACGATAAACAAGTCCGTAAAAGATCACGACTCGGGAAGGAAATCCACCTGTCTTAAAGGTCACTTGCGCACGGTACATGAATCACTTGGCAAACTTTCTCCCAAGATTTGATGTGATAACACTGAAATTATTAACAACTTAACATTTCTTTTGGTGAATCATTCATTATCATATGAACATGTTGAAAGTAATCCTATCAAATTTTGAGTCATAAAGTCTTTGTGAGTCAGTTTAAAATTGTGAATGAAATCATTAGAAAATATTCAAATCCAGTTATGAGGTGTATACTACCCATTTCCTGTTTGGGGTTCGGATGCAAGCGTAATTACGTACCGCGGCTTTTCTCTAAGCAGGAGAAGGACAGGGTAGGTTGTCAGTCAAAAAGGCGAGCCCGAGAAGTCATGTTACAATTTTCCTAAGATTGTCAGCCTTCAAGTTACTCCATCCTGAAATCTCTAACTTTCAAGAGGTATAAGAGGAGTTATATTGCAATGCAGCCTTTTAGCGATAAGAGATTTCAGGATTTGGAGTATAGGATTCCAGAACGCAGCGAAACATAATGTTTAGATTTGTTTCGTGCCGATTTTCTGTGCCGTTGCCGTGCTATCACTTCGCTCATGCCGCCGCCCTGTACGGGCTTATTATGTAACATGCTCCAAAGTATCGAAAGGGGTATACAGAATAATGTCAAATTTGTTCTGATCCTATGTTGAACATTACTAGGCTTTCACCAAAATACTGTACTGTACTAGGCTTGGTGAAATACTGTCATTTTGTATATTTTTTGCAACCAGAACGTCCACAACCCACGAAACTTTATGGACAGCACGATATCCAAGATAAATGCGTTTCCAATTTATGTGGACCCTGTTTTTGCTGTCCACCGCTAGATGACGTGACGCTTGACGTATAGACAGCGCAATATTTTGTCACTATGATAAATATCTGCCGGATATTGTAAAGCGGTTGGTTGCTGGGTCAGATTTTTCTTCTTATAATCTACATATATTCAGATTATTGTTATAAAAAATAATAATTCTGTGGTAAAACTTAATTAAGTACGTTATGTAAAATTTTGTAGTATAAAAATAACACAAGGAAACTTGTATTTTGA